TAAGAAAAATAATTAGTATATACATAATTTATTAATATTCCGTTTACTACTTAAATTATTAACTTTTAGTTACATAATTAAATAATTAGTTAATTAATTACTAATGTTTATTTAATAATCTATTATTTCATATATCACTTGATCAATTTTTGGTAATTATTCTTTTTATAATGATTAATTACTAATTACTAATTATTAATTATTATTGATTATTATATTACATACTGATAATTTTAATTTAATGTTAATTATTAATTGAGTAATTACTATTTATTTTTTATTTACCAACTATTTACTAATTTATAGATTATTATTAACATAATATATGATTGATATATTAATTATTAATTATTTATTTAATAACCTATTATTACTTGTTTTATTGTTAATATGTTATATAATTAATTTTTGGCAATTAATCTTTATTTAAATAACTAATTACTATATTATTTAATTATTTTATTAATAAAATTAAAAACTTAATAGTAATAAATTAATATTTAATTAATAATTAAGTAATTACTATATATTTATTAGTTATTAAGTATTTCTATTTATTAATTATTAATTAGTTATTAATATGATTTTTAATTAATAATTAATTATTTAATATAACTTTGTTGATAAGTACTAGAAAATAAAAATAGAAAAGGGAAAACAACTTTAAATCGTTTGCTACTTTCTTCACAAAAATCATTCTCATTGTTTTTTGTTTTTGTTTACGTTTCCATTTTCAAAACTTTTATTAAACAAACGCGATTTGTAGACCGTTTTCGTTTTCGTGCCTCAAAAGACATACGAAAACATTTTTAAAAATAATTCCAAACGCACCCAAAAAGTTAGCATTCAACATTTTTTTTTTGTAGTATTGATATTTAATGCACTATGGAATATGTAATCTTCTTCCTCTTTTTTCGCTTAAATTATAAGTTATGTAATCTATGATTACCTAACTGCATACTCGTATCTTCCTATAGATTTGTACCATTTTTTTTACATCTATAATTAGGCTACATACAACGTATCAACCTACCTCCATCTCTACACAAATTTGTTTTATTCTTTTATAATTTATCATAGGATATATAGTAATGGTAGATAATAATTTCTTGCATTGAATTGTATAGCTGAAGACCCACGCCCTTAAATTCGTCACGATAGACATTTATTTGACATTGACACTAAGGTTGCATTTAGTATGCAAGATTTTGAGTATTATCAGTAGAGGACGTTATTATTTTTTAAAATAAAAATAATAACTACTTCGATGAGTGCTTATTGCTGAGAGAGAGGAGTTAAGAGAAAATAAAATATTTTTTTCATGGGATGGGATAAGTTAACTCATGTATTTGAGATAATTGATACTAATTTTCCCATCCTAAAATTAAGCACCAGGGATAGTTAACCATATCCACGTCCCCCACTTAATCCTTTGCACCAGATAAGGCCTAATTGCATAACATTTTTTATATTCAAATCTGTAAGGAAAAAAAGTGCATGTTAATTGACAATAACATTAATTGTGATTGAACTGAAAATTACTAGACTATTTTTCGACCATGTTGCCTATCTTCATATTCATTCATGGCCCATGCTGTTATGTTTCTTCTTTTATTTATTTATTTATTTTTTTTTACGTTAGAATTGACGGGGTGATTTGACCTGTCTTTTTGTTGAACATTAAAATACAAGAATAAGGATTCCACATTATCTCTATCGTTCCAACACTCAACTCTCCATTATTACGTTTACTTTTTGTAAACTCTTTGTTTTCTATTATTATTATATGACCACGCAAGGATACCTAATTAAGAATCAAAACTTGTTTGAATATTCTGATATTTCTTCAAGAACCCCTTCCATTAAATCACCAGTAGGCGTTACCAAGTCACAATCTTTCCCCATAAAACAAATTCCCACCCCAATGAAACAATGTCGCAAAAAACATATCCTCAAGATTCCAAAGCACCAAATATATGTAGTCCTTCGTTTCAATAAGCACAAATAACAAAATATTGGTCCACCACCTTAAGATTCTCTCACACACACACACACACATATATATATTGTTTTAACATGATTCAGCACCCCACTATGAGTCCAACAAACCCCACCGGCCACCACCGCCACCGCCATTTCGTAGCTTCATCCTAATTGGCAAACACTAACTAAAATCAATCAATTAAGCATATCATCAGCATGCATTTTTCATCTATACAGTCAATACAGTGATCATACTTCCTTTTTTGTCCTTAAATTTGGGATGAAAAATTGAATTTATGATTTCGATATTGAAGACGCAGATATATAACTATCTCTAGATTAAACGTGCAATCACATTATTGTCTTTAAGCGAGAAACGAGCAAAGGCGTTATATTTACAGAGAGCAAAAGTACATCAACCAACCCTGTACTACACACATGAACATCATCTTACAAACCACACTCTCACGTCAACTACGCTCGCTATGCATATGGTTTTGCACATATAGCATACCTACATAGCTTCACTACAAATACACAGCCGCTTACAAGCCCTCTTCATTTCAAAAACACACATGCAAACTGCAGAGCTACACATAACATATACATACATATATATATATATATATGAATGTATATAGCATATATATAGTGGGTGGTACGTTCTCAGCCGTGATAAGATTACAAAATATGCTTCCTCATCATATCTCACACGTCGTAAGGAGAAGGAGGGCTGCTCCTGGGTCCAGTTTCGGTTGCCTTCTCGTATGCGTCCGACGTTGACCTTCGTCGAAAACGGAACGACTCTCTGCCTCCTACCAAAATGTCCAATGAGTACTATATTTCATAGTGATGAACCAAATTCACAACAACTGAAATATTGCCCCGCATATGAAACTGTATATTTAATTGGTGACAAATTATAATTTTTTTTTTAAAGTAACAAATTATATTAAAACAAGTTACAAATGTAATTTTATCACCATCATTCATCACAAAATAGATTGCTCAACGCAAATGGGTCATCAGTCATCACAATCACACATCCATTGCATTGGTCATTGAGTGTCTCTCACCAACTAAATAAAGTTGGCTTTCACGTCAGAATTAATGTACCAATAAAGTTTGTTCTCTACATATCCACCTAATTAAGACCAATTAATCTAATGGTTGTTCATCTTACCTAATTAAAGATGGATCTGATTTTGCAATTCTTCATTAACCCAGACGTTTGATTCATCGATTATAATCATATAATTAAAATTATTTTTAATTTACGTGTATTTTTTATAAAAAAAATCATATAATAAATTACGATTCGAATTAAGGAACGTATTCGAATCAAGAAACTAGTACCAAACATCCTCAAATATTTGGTGTACCCCACAACATTAAAATAGGGGACCTATATGTTTCGTTTCGTCCTTATAAACAACAAACATGCAATCATAATAGGATTACGTCAGTAAGGACACAACTGTAATTTGATAATGCACCTATTAGCCACTCAGAAGCAGACACCTCCACAAAATGACAAAAAAACCACCCCTCATCGAGATACTACTATAGAACTATACTAGTCTACTCTATCAGTACTTCCACTGAGAGACCGATCACCATCTAAAAGTGGAAAGAAAAAATCAGGGGCATTTCCGACATTTCGCGAACTTACCAGAAAACGGAGACACTGGAGGAGTTGACCCCGCTGGTGAGACCGGAGGCCGCCGTCCGATCCTGATCAAATCAGAAAAGAAACAAAAAGAAACACTCTAGTTTAGATTCACACGTCGATCGGATCGCAAAAACTCTCCAGTTGATCAGTTGTAAAATCATGTATAATAAAGAGTGTTAATGCTAGATCTGAACCGTATGATTGAACATAATAATTAATCAATTATTTGTGGTAATTATTGAGTTTAATTGTGTTATGAATCTGATGATCTAGAAGTTGATTAGAAAAAGTTAGGGCAGAGTGAGAGTAAATCAGCCGGCGATACCCTTGCCGGAGTTGGGACGGAAACTGAAGGAGGAGTACTTCCGTAGCTTGCCGCGTTCGTTCTCCGGCCGAGGGCCGGCGACGGTGTCGTCCCAGAGCTGGTCGAGAAGTCCCATGGCGGCGGCGCACGTTAGGGAAAAAAAAAAGAGATACGCAAGTTAGCAAAAAGAAAAAGAGATCTCTTAAGCTCTCTCTCTCTCTAAAATACCCGAGAATAGAGAAGTCAGCGTAGAGTGGGGGAGATATTTAACGGCGAAGGGAGGCGTTAAAGGTCGAATAAGTTCAGAGAGTAGAGGAGATCTGGACCGTAGGATGGATCTAATGGCTGTCTTTAGGACGTGGGAAGTGGATCGATGAGCACGTAATTGGGATAAGACCGATATGACAGGTGGGCCCCACGGGCTGGGCAGATGTGGAAGGGTAGCGGTGACACGTGGATGAAAACCCAAGGGATGTTAGAGGACAAGTCACGTGACCGGGTCGGTTTGTGGATATAGATTTTCGAGAATGCCCTTGACTTTATCCAGAAAGTGAACAAAGAGGCTCGAGATTTGGGTTTATTTACGAGTATTGCCATTTCTGATTTGCTTTTTCCAGTTTCTCGGAAGCTGTTATTATCCGAGTCTATAGAGTACTATTTACAAAAGCCGTTTTTATCTTTTCTTTCCGTCTTCTCTCCGTACAAATACTGCCATTCGTCCGGACGATACTGGAGGAGCCGCCAAAAAGTTGTCGTCGTTTTGATATTTTTCCTTTCTTTTCTGCTGAGGAAGTGGTCGTTTGGATTTAGGAAATCATGACCGGATTTTTTTACACAAAAAAATTGACGGCTATGCACTTTTTTTTTTTTTTTTTTTTTTTTTTTTTTTTTTTTTCTTTTTTTTTTTTTTTTTTTTTTTTTTTTTTTTTTTTTATGAAATGGGTAAAGGGTAAATGTTTAACTTAACGCATAATTTTATTTAAAATGTTAAATTTATTTTTTTTCATAATTATTGAGATTTTAAAGTTGTAAAAATAAATTTTATATTAAACATTACAACTAGTAATAATTAAATGTTCAATTTTTCACATGTTACTTGATGAAAAATTTATCACAAAGTATAACCGATGATAAATTTATCACAACAAACAGCATTACATTAGGGAGTGTTTTTTTAGACTTATGTTAAATTTACAATTAGCACATCACTTATAGCATTACATTAATTGATTACATGAAAAAGTAAACATTTCAACCAATAGTAATCAAATGTCAAATTTTTTACATACTACTTGATGGGAAATTTGCCACAAAATATAATATATGAGAAATTTATCACAACAAATAGCATTATATTGAAAAATATTTTTTAGACTCAATATTAAATTTACAATTGACATATCAATTATAACATTGTATTGAAAATACTTTTACGTTATTTAAATGACGTGACATAATAAAATTTATTAGACATCATTTGAAACATTAAAATTGAATAGGAGGTCTGAGTCTATTTTAACGGTATATTTATACTATGTTTTAGGAGGATAGGATAATGATACGCGTGAGCTAGAGAGGTATATCTTGTATTTTGACTGTACAGTTATACTATGTTTTAGGACATTGCGTTTGTGCTACAGAATTGGGTAATTAGGTAATGGTGCATGTTGTGTGGGAAAATATGGCGGACGCGTGGGCAAAGTATACCGCGACACGTGGCCTTGATTAATCCCCATCAAGCAAGGAACCCTCGACGCTTGCAGACTCCTCATACCCTGCTGCGAAGGCCCAAGGACGGAGTCCAAGTTAGGGCAACGATCCTTTGTGGCGTCGACCAATTGCGCTGTCGACGCTAAGGGATGAAGATCTCTCGACCGCAGAAAGGGCTATCGAAGAAGGCGGTTGGGCTAAGAAGTGTTGACGACGAGAGGAACGTCCTTTAGAGGACATAACGGGTTACGTGCAGAAGTGGAGGTGGTCTGCAAGCATTAATTGCGAGCTGTCAAACCGCTCCCACAGGGGACAGGAAAGTATTACGGGGAAGCACAGAGCCGTAATAGAAGACTAATTAGCTGAGTGAACAGTGCTAATTAGTGGGCTACGTCTGGGCCTACCGAAGGAGAGCACTTGAGTGCTTCTAGCTGTGAAGGAACCCCTTGGGTGAAGGAAGCCCAATATAAAAGGAGAAAGACCCCCAGCAAGGAGGAGGTTCGAAAAAACTCTAGCTGAGAACAAAAATTGTAAATTGTAACTTACCCCAAATAAAGAAATACAAGATTAGAGTGGATGTAGCTCTAAAATTTATAGAGTGAACCACTATAAATTTCCTGGCGTCATTTACATATTCGATTCTTAGTAAATACACGCAAACACATATCCATCAATTCCTGATACGTAAACACACACACACGGCCGGTAATCCGAGGGAAAATCGAGAGGTAATCCGGTCAGTTTTTTGTTGGCAAAATTTGACCGTCAACAATTGGCGACCTCGCTGGGGACGAAAGAGTTCGACCCCCAACAACATAGTGATAAACCGCCACCCGTCCAGGGAATAGCGGGATAGAAGGAGATCTACACCCGGTCAGAAATGAAGTTCCACCTCCAGACGCGCCACGGTCGGATCCGATGCAGATGCAGGCCCAACTGACCACTCTAACCGAGCTGGTACGTGGGCTAATGACCGTGGTGGAGCGCTTAGATGGAAGGAACTCCATGCCGCCATTAGAAGATGCTCCGATGCCGCAGGGACCCGCCATGGCCGGCGATCCAAACCGCGGCAACTACCCACTTGTCCAAGAGGGAACCGGAGATAGTGAGAATCGCCGGGGCCCTCCTTGGCCTCGGCCTTCCCAATCCCCCGACAGTCGTTTGGGGGCTGCCGGGCTCCGAGCACCCGAGGACCGGGTACTGAGAGGTCCTGGAAACCCCGAGATACTATCTCAGAATCCAGGTGGAAACCCGCCAGAAGACTCAGGCTCAGGGCAGGCAGGCGGCCAGGCCCGAAGCAGGCCCAACGTTCAGAGGGCGGAAGCGTCAAGAGTAGCCGGCTCGGCCATTTCGACAGAGGAAGCACGCGCCATCATGGAACGTATGGCCAGCCTGGAGCAAAAACTGATAGGGGACGTGGCGGGCCTGAAAAAGAATATAGGTCGTGTGGCTGAGGTGGTAAACGTCGACTTCACGCCCAGTCGCACACACAACCATCCATTTACTGAAGAGATAATGGCACCCCCTTTCCCCGATAAATATAGGTCGCCGTCAATCCCGCCATATGATGGGCGAGGAGATCCCGACGATCATCTGGAGATGTACACTGGGCACATGCCCTTACATGGTTACGCCGAGGAGATCATGTGCCGAGCCTTTCGAAACCATTTGACGGATTCTGCCCGGAGGTGGTTCCGAACGCTGAGGCCAAACTCTATCTCGAGCTGGGACGAGTTGAAGGAAGCGTTTTCCTTCCAATTCATAGGGGTCAAAAAATACGTCCCTCCAAAGCAGAATATGATGACGATATACCAAAAGCCAAACAAGTCATTGATGGAATGGCTCGCAAGGTATAGGGAAGCTTTCGCCGCCACGATGGACATAATAGATAGAGAAGCCTTGATGTGGGCCTTATCTAGCATGAATAAAATTACCCCGTTGAAAAGAAAGCTAAACCGAAAACCTCCAACCAGCTACAGGGAATTTTTGGTGCGAGCGCAGAGGTACATCAACGCCGAAGAGGCGGACGCGAACGACCCCGAGCACCGGACCAATAAGAATAAAGGAACCGAACAAGGGTCGGTGCTTGCGAAGCAGGATGGGAAGAAGCGTCGAGGCGGAGGAAACGGAGACAAGCAGCCCACCGCAATGACGAACGCTCCAGAAGCCAAAAAGCCGAGACAAGAGGATACCCGCAAGCCTCGACTGTTCCAAAAGTACGATTCCTACCATGAGTTAACGGTAGGAGTCGAGGAGGTCTTCAACCAGGCCGGCCGCGGGAACTTGCTACGCCGACCGGAAGTAATGAAGTCAGATCCCAGCCGAAGGAACCATAAGAAATTCTGTAGGTTCCACGGCGATGTCGGCCACCACACCAACAATTGTGCTGACCTCAAGGACGAAATCGAAAGAGTGATCCGCGAGGGAAGGTTACAAGAATTCAGGGCCGAGCGAAGGCCCCGGAATGACGGCCATGGTGGGCAGAATGACGGTCGACGTCGATAGGAGAATCAGCGCCCAGAGGATCGCGAACCCGTCGGCGTCATAAGGATTGTCCTCGGCAGTCCCTATATAGGAGGAGACTCAAGGAGGTCTCAGAAGGACTACGCCCACGAGGCCAGGGGGTTTATCAGGAGCGATTCTGGAGCGTCTCCGCCACAAAAACCCTAAGGTACAGCCACACCGATGTGGCTTTTAACGAGGATGACGCTAGTGGGATTCATTTCCCCCACAACGATGCCTTGGTGGTGGAAGCCATGATAGGAAAATACACCGTGTGCAGAATCCTGGTGGACAATGAGAGCTCGGTGGACCTCCTATACTCCGATTGCTTGGAGAAAATGGGGATCCAAAAGGAGCAATTGGAGAAAACCTCCAGGCCGCTGTATGGTTTCACAGGCGACTTCGTCATCCCTCAAGGGATCATCCGCCTACCCATAACTGCCGGTGAAAAACCTCGACAGGCAACCACAATGGCCAATTTCGTGGTCATAAAGGGAAGCTCCCAATACAACGCGGTAATCGGGAGGCCAACCCTCCAAGCGTTGAGAGCAATAACCTCCGTCTACCACCAAAAGGTCAAGTTCCCCACCCCAAATGGCGTAGGGGAAATGAAGAGCAACCAGTATGAAGCTAGGGTCGCATACTCTGACGCCCTACGCGGATACGACCAACCGGGAAGACATGAGACAAGGATGGTTCACCAAGGCCTTGTCGAGGATATAGATCCCCGGATCCAAGAGGAAGTCACATGGTCTCAACCTGTTGAACAGTTGGTGGAAATCCAAGTTGGTAAAGGCGAGTCCACCAGAGTGCTAAAAGTGGGCTCAGGCTTAGCCCCATCACTTAAAGATGAGATCGAAAACTTCCTCAGGAAGAACCTAGATGTCTTTGCCTGGAATCATTCCGACATGGAAGGGATCGACGCCGAAGTAATATGTCACTCCCTAAATGTCGACCCCTCACATTCGCCCAAACGACAAAAACGTCGGCCGATGAACCCCGAGA